CTTGACATTAGGGGCGGGGGGGCGAATTTACGCTATCTAGCTGAAGCCTCATTGTCATGAAACAATCTCCGTCTCTCTGGGCGGAGGAGATTCAGCTGTCCCGGGATGTTTGTTTTGATGACGAACGTGACTGCATCTCCCGGCCTCTTTTTTTATAGGAAGGTGTATATGGCGCCTATTTCAGTCAGTATACGGGAGAGGACTTCGTGTGTGCCCCCCAGCTCAGCTTGTCCACTTGCAAGGTGTGTTTGTAAGGCCGCATGCGCTTTGGAGAGGCGGCTATGTCGGTTGGTTAGGTGGGCGAAAAATAACCACTCCGCTTACACCACTGGCCTCGGGTCACAACCTTTAACACGTTAAACTCCAAACTGCGGCGGGACAGTGCAACGTGAGTCCTCGCCTGCGAATTTCGCTCCAATCTCCGTGTACCTAGCTGGTGTTCGTGCATCAGGGCCTGCAGTTATCGTTTGGCTGCAGTCGACACACGGCAGAAAACTTCTGTTCAGGGACTGCGGATTCTTCGGTCTCTCTCTCTCTCTCCCGTTAGCTTTAAGTAGCTCCACGAGGTGGTAGTTCCATCCCACCCCCTTGTCAGTTAGCCCGCTGTCATGGATGTCCACCGGTCGGTGAAGTCTAGACATACATAAGTTTCGTTTATGTTTGCGGCGGGCGGTTGCTGTAAAAGCCTGTGACCCGCATTATATTTGTCGGTAATTTTTTTCATGGACCATGTCGATTACCTGTTTGGGAAGCGTATTTTTACCATGGTCAGTCTTCCTCCATTCCTACCATGCTTTAGTTTCAAAAGTAAGCTAAGGGGATCAGAACTGAGCAGCTTGGGTCCATTCGTCCTCGTTTTACGTTTGCCGCAAAAGAAACATACTCGTCACCAAGTGGGCCTTCTGTCGGACTTAAACCCTTTAAATGGCATTGAATCTCCCACACTTTCGCCGTCACCACTCCTTCGCGTCCGCGAAGGAGTTATCTGTTATTTTCTGTCGTTTAGTTGACTCCTATTGCTGGTCTCCTTTCACTATTTAATAGTCTCGTGTTCCCACGCTACCTAACGCAGTCTTGTTCCAAGCCTTCACCTTTTCTCTTCATTCTCCTTCCAGTCTTCCCTTACCCCATTCTTTTCCATACCCAGTGCTACTCGCTATCTTCCTCTTTTCCTCCCGTGGACCCCGCTTCCATTGCCTTTCCTTCTGCTCTCTCCATTAATGCCGCTTCTTCTTCTAGCTCCTTATCCTTCTTCTGCTGCCTATGAGCTCCGCTCAGCTGTGAGGGCTGAAGTGACCTGGCGCCGCGACCCTACAGTTTTACCCGAACCACAGGCCCATGTGCGCACCAAAACTGCAGATGTCTCTGTGTGTGCGTGTGTGCTGACTTGGGGCAGTTCACTGATTAGCAACCCGCCCTTGACTTGTTTTTGTGTGTGTGGATCTTGCACTCTTTCTAGCTATTAATCTCGAAGACTCTTTTCGCGCAATCTCTTGTCGATTTTCTCCAGCATAGGACAGCCCTCTGCCATTATGCAACTCAGTGACTTGCATTTTGCAGTATGATCCTACCGCGAACTTGACCATTTTCCCTTGAAAACGGTTCACCGAATAGTATACCTTGCCGAAACCCCTAATATCTACAACAAACGGTGATCTCTGCTCTTCTGTAAGAGGTACAACTTTAATGCACTGATTGGCTTCCAAAGAAACTAGACACCGACAGCTTACATTCGCAGATTTGTGTGCACTCATAATTTGATTGTTTCCTATTTTCAACGTCTTTCCCCACAGCCTCAAAATAGACAGTCACAACGAAAAATAACCCATATTTAAACGCACTTGTTTGACTGCAATTCTTGGAGTCAAACAAGTGTTTGGCTATCTTACTGGTTTAACGACTAGATTCTACCGCG